GGAGGAGGAGGAGGAGGAGAGCGGGCCACTGTGCACGGGAGGAGGAGGAGGAGAGCGGGCCACTGTGCACGGGAGGAGGAGGAGGAGGAGGAGAGCGGGCCACTGTGCACAGGAGGTGAGTGAGTGAGTGGAATATAATTGCCATGTATTGAGGACTGAGGAGTACATGATATTACTACATCGCACCCGAACCCTGAGCCCATTGCACCCTTTAAACCCTCTTTAAGTTCACCTTTCCCATCGACTTCAGTGAATTTTGCCAAAATTTGCTACAACCTTTGGTAAAATTTGGGTAAATGTAAACTCTCAGGTTCACGGATCCCTTTTGGAGGGACTCCATAATCAGTTACCTTTTTGGCAGTGACGAGATGTCCAGCAGCGAGGTTCCTCCACACCATTGATGACAGTCTTCACACATGAGGAGTCCAGGATCCCGGGACAGACGTCCGTACATTCCTCGATGGGGTTGTTGCCCACAATGTAATTGTTTTCCATGTTCTTAGACAACAGCGACCAGTCAATGGTGAAGATGTGGCAGAGCTCCTGATTCCGCTCAATGCGGACAGCCCCCCGCACTATGTTGGTGAGGCTGCTAAGCCCGATCTCCCTCAGATGCGGCATCTCGAAGATCACCAGGGAGTAATGGAAGAAGAGGTCCGTGCCCCGAATGATGGACAAGTTGGGGAAAAGCTCTTGGAGGCTTTCCAAGCCGTAGACGCGGAAGAGGAGAAGGTACTCGGTGATCATGGTTAAACGGGGGAAGCTTAGGCCTCGGAAGTCCTCAGGCTTGGTGCTGAACATGAGCAGTATCTGGAGGTTGCCTTGGATAACCGTACAGTTCTCCAACTTACGGAGCTGCGACACGTCGTTCCGGATGTCCATGCTGCCGCAAACTGAAGAAGAAGAAAAGACCAATGTTAGGTTGACCATTCTTTTAAAAAGGCATAACAAAAAGGTTGATACAGGTATACTCAGGGCTGGATTTCCCACAAGGCCAACCAAGTCCCGGCCTTGGGGCAGCAGGGGGTAATGGAATTCCTATCCTATCCAATGCTTATGGAATGCAATGGTTTCTTTCTAGTGTGCAGCTATTCTTTAAGATGAAGGTCTGGCTGCTGAAGAGTAGGAGGAGATTATTACTTGTTGAATGACAGGACCACTTCACCCTTCTGCTCCTACAGCAATGCAGGTAGCACAAGGCTCTTCACCTTTAAAGTGCTTATATACACTATGGAGACCCTCAAACCTGGATAGATGGTCCCTACCACCCCAACACAATGCGGACAACCTTCTGCTTTCCAGCTCCCTCGTCAACTCCTCAGATGCTCGCCTCCAGGGCTTCACTAGAGTCTCTCCCATCCTCTGGAACATTTTACCCCAACCTGTCCATCTATTTCCCACTCTGACTGCCTTTAGGCGATCCCTTAAGACTCATCTCTTCAGGGAAGCCTATCCCACCTCAAACTGACCACTCAGCCATTCATCCCCACACAGCTCCCTCCTCATGCATCACTGGCCCCTCCCTTTTAGACTGTAAGCCCTCAGGGGCCGGGCCCTCCTTACCATCTTGTCTTGAATTGTATTGTCTTCCTTATATTGTAAAACGCTGCGCACACTGTTGGCGCTCTATAAATCTTGTATAATAAGAACAATAATATAATAACCACTGAGGAGCTCACAATACATTAAGGGGGGTGAGTTCCAAGTCAAAGATATTCCTTGCATGAAGTCTGTGCCCAGAGGCTCTCAAAGCACATGCAAGAGATTCTAAAGGAAGGTACCCTCAGTAGACAGAAGGATGGCAGATGGGCAAAGTTTAGACCCAATGTCATAGATGTCATGCCTTTGGTAACAAAGGGCAACCAGTTCCAGTTGGGCACACTGAGGAGGGTCTAAAAACTGTGCCAAGGTACTCTTAGTAGACAGAAGGATGGCAGATAGGCAAAGCTTAGACCCAATGTCGTAGATCTCATGCCTATGGAACAAATGGCAACCGGTTTCAGTTGGGCACACTGAGGAGGGTCTAAAAACTGTGCCAAGGTACTCTTAGTAGACAGAAGGATGGCAGTTGGGCAAAGTTTTGACCCAATGTCATTGAGATCATGGTCTATGGGAGGGATGGCCAAACTGCGGCCCTCCAGCTGTGGAACTACGAATCCCATGAGGCTTTGCAAGATTCTTACAGCCACGACTCCCGGAGAGAGATGCTTCATGGGATTTGTAGTTTCACCACAGCCGGAGTTTGGCCATCCCTGGTCTGCGGTAACAAAGCGAGACACATTGGGCACACAGAGGAGGGGTCCACTGGCCAAAAAATCCAAATGCTTTGTTGTCACATCTCTCTTTAACGGTTGGGGCAGCAGAAAGGTTCGATTGGCTCTTGAATAGGACTACTTCATACATGTTCCGTGGATTTGTACACGCAAGACATTAGAAAGGCCTTGGGGGGGGGGGCACAAAAAGGCATTTGATATCTTTGCAAAATACGGCACAAGAAGTCCTAGCCGCGTGTAGTCACAATAAACTTCGATTGCAACACAATTTCGCCACAACAGGTTTGAAGAGATTTGGATATAAACCTGTTGATACAATAAACTACGTTTTTGTTTTTTTAAATCTTTTACATCAGAAACGAGCTGCTAAAGTTGTTGTTTTAGGACATTCGTAACTCCCCGTCCACATGTCTGACGTCTCCTGGGCCATCGTATTGGAAAAACACACACAATATTACACATTTCATATTGCTACAGATCCAAAAACTCTGTTCAGATGAAGCTTGATACGGCGGGACACTCGGCTAAAAAAAACTGTCATTCCTTGCTGTCTCTCCTGGCTGTCATTCCTTGCTGTCTCTCCTGGCTGTCTCTCCTGGCTGTCTCTCCTGGCTGTCATTCCTTGCTGTCTCTCCCGGCTGTCTCTCCCGGCTGTCTCTCCCGGCTGTCTCTCCCGGCTCACCTTGCTGTATTTTGCTAATATATAAAACTAATATTCTTTGATGTAATACATAGCACTACAACCCCCAGTATCCCCAGTGTCAGGGAACTCGGCTCAGCAGACTCAGGCTAATAGGTAATCATGTGTGCACAGCTAAATAAAGGGGCCGCCATTCACACCCTTCCTGATCTACCAGCATCAGCTCTGAGAGCTACTGCTAGATCACCATCTTCCTAATGGGCACCCCTGGTCTCAGCTAATGAAGGTACAGGCAAGTGTCTTCAAACAGCAAAGTATCTGCAGGTCCCACTTCCATCCCGCATCTGAAGGGTCCATTCACTGATCAAACGCTCTGTATAACGCGCGCCCATTGGTGGGAGTTAGGTGGGGGGAGGTTTAATGCGTTCTTACAATAAATGGCACCGATTACTTATTACTTTACTTATTTTTTTTATCTTTATTGAAATGTCACAAAATGACATTTAACTATATAAAAATGACACCTGTCCTACTCGTTTCACCAATACGGTAGGACAGAAGGCGAATGACCTTGTCTATGAGCTAGGACCGTGTTGGGTAGAGTTGCTTCCACCTGGTGTGAATGAGATCTAATAGGTTTAATTTAGGGTTGCACAGATACCAAGTACAGTACTCGGTACAAGTACGAGTACATGTACCGATACTTTTAATTCTCATTTTGGATCGGCATTGCCATGCTAACTATTCCTGTGGGCCCCTGGGTCAGCTCTGTGGCCCCTGGGTCAGCTCTTTATCCAGAATGGTTGTACAGTACAGATACAGCTCATCATCACAGAGCCATTGACTCCAAGCTCTATAATATCAGGCTGTATCTGGGCACCCACCGTTCTGGATGAGCAGTTGGCTCGGGAACATTGGAGGGATGATATGTAGGGTTCCACCTTCTATCCCAAAATGAGGAATAAACATCCATATTTTTATATTGTACTAAAAGGGAGACCTACATTAGGGTGATCATACCCCCCCACCCCCAGCTCTAGAAGGCTCCACCGCTCAACCTCCGACCATGCTGACGTGAAGTCCATCTTGCTGCACCTAGCCTTCATCCTCACCCTGCAGTCATTCAGAGCACAGTCTGGTATAGTAAATGGAGCTACTGGAGGGGGTAGGGCAGTGCAGGGTAGAAGACAGAGACAGGACAGGAGGGCAGTGCAGGGTAGAGGACAGAACAGACAGACAGGAGGGCAGTGCAAGGACAAACAGACAAGAGGGAGGGCAGTGCAAGGACAGACAGACAGGAGGGAGGGCAGAATAGACACATGGAAGGAAGTGCCGTGTAAGGCAGACAGACGGAACGAAAGGACAAATTGGCGGGAGGGCAGAGCAGGACACACGGGAAGGCAGGACAGGGCAGGAGGACAGGGCAGGCGGGAGGGCAGTGCAAGGACAGAGACAGGAGGGAGGGCAGTGCAAGGACAGACAGACAGACAGACAGACAGAAGGGAGGGCCGAACAGACGGAACGAAAAGGACAAATTGGCGGGAGGGCAGGGCACACGGGAGGGAAGGACAGGCGGGAGGTCAGGGCAGGGCACACGGGAGGGCAGGACAGGCGGGAGGGCAGGACAGGGCACACGGAAACATGAGGGAAATAAAAGAGCAAAACAGATAATAAGCAATAGAAACGATACGATAGTTTGAAACATTTGCATCTGAATAATTACATTCAAATAGTCTCCTCCCCGAGCTTGTGTTATATCGCTCGCCTCTCTCTCACTCGTTGGCCATTCACCAGTATGAAAGGTTGGTTTGATTTTCGAATAATAAAAATCAGGTCAAGTCAACTAAAGATTCCAACCCACGAAAAATAGAAATTCCAAAACCGAACATCAAAACTCAAGGAGAACTCTGAATAACATTGGCCAAGTCTCTGATGGCTTCACCTGTTCTTCGGCCATGTTGAGGGGTTTACAAGTCTGACAAAGTGACTGCGGTAGAACCCCTATGGAGCTTATCCTCCATCACAGCAGCTGGTACAGATATAGACACCAGAAGCCGAATCTACAGACGTGGGGAAGTGACATGAAAACAAGGCGTGCCGGCACACGTGTGAGAGAACCTACGAACATCGGAACCAAAGCTCAACATGCCGACCTGGAACACAGGCCAGGATCATTGTCAGGAGCGGGCTCGGCGATCTGCAATACTTCACATGAATGGAGTAGGGATTGTGACACGTGTAGTTGGGTCTGTGTCATTAGTAACATTCAGTCATGGGTCCAGTATGTCTGGAATTTGGGACTGGAAGGCAACCTGTTACTGGTTAACAAGCTGGTGTGAGGACTGGAGACCAAACAAGGTTTGGTCTCCAGTCCCTGTGCCGAGTTCCCGGGTCTGTACACCCACTGTGCCAAAGAGGAGCCCCCACCATCCCTGTGCTGAGTTCCCGGGTCTGTACACCCGCTGTGCCCATTATGAGGAGCTCCCACGATCCCTGTGCTGAGTTCCCGGGTCTGTACACCCACTGTGCCCATTATGAGGGGCCCCCACCATCCCTGTGCTGAATTCCTGGGTCTGTACACCCGCTGTGCCCATTATGAGGAGCTCCCCCCATCCCTGTGCTGAGTTCTTGAGTCTGTACACCCGCTGTGCCCATTATGAGGAGCTCCCACCATCCCTGTGCTGAGTTCCCGGGTCTGTACACACGCTGTGCCCATTATGAGGGGCTCCCCCCATCCCTGTGCTGAGTTCCCGGGTATGTACACCCGCTGTGCCCATTATGAGGGGTTCCCACCATCCCTGTGCTGAGTTCCTGGGAGCTGTGCTACTTTTGGGTGTAGTGTCCCTCTGTTGTTGAAGAATGGTGTCACCCCATCGGACTTGTTCTGTGAGCGGTGACATTGGTCTCCCCCCATCCACGACTTCGGTCAGCCATAATAACATCAATGTGTTTACTGAACAACAGACAGTTGTACAAAGTAGCAAGGCTCGGTTAGCTATACTCCTAAAAGTACATTTACTGTAAACAAAGCATATACCTGGCTGGTGACCCGACACTGAACTTGTTACACCAACCTGTTCCTTTTATCTATATTACACATCGTTCTCCATATTTATACTGATACAGTTGTACCCATAAAAAAAAAAAGAAGAAGTACAACAATCAGCCTGTGAACCTGTTATAATGGGCGAAGCGGAATGCCCGGGGACTGTGGTGGAGAAGACTGATGCTTGGGTGAAGAGGATGCCCAGGGACTCTATAGAGGAATCAGAACCTCCTTCCTCCTGCTGGGGACCCCTCTAGTGATAATAAAGATCTATATAGAGGAATCAGGACCTCCTTCCTCCTGCTGGGGACCCCTCTGATAATAAAGATCTATATAGAGGAATCAGGACCTCCTGAAGAGGCCGATGGTTGGGTGAAGCAGATGCCCAGGGACTCTGGTGGAAGAGGTCAATGGTTGGGTGAAGCGGATACCAGGGGAGTCTGGTGGAAGAGGTCAATGGTTGGGTGAAGCGGATGCCCTGGGGACTCCGGTGGAAGAGGCCGATGGTTGGGTGAAGTGGATGCCCTGGGGACTCCGGTGGAATAGGCCGATGGTTGGGTGCACACTGGTAACAGGTGGACAATCATGGGATTTCATACAACAAATTAAAATATGCAAAAGGTCAATTGAGGCCCGTCTCAATCATCGCTGTAGGCAATGTAGGGCGGTGCTCTTATTCATAATGACCTCCTTTATAATTTGTCCATCATAACAGCCGCCATGCTCACACAGGGAGTGATGGATCACAATACGGCAGTAACATGGAAATCAGGAGGAAACACAATGGGAGATAATGGAAAGTTGTCCTGATCTTCTGCAAGTAACACAC